CCATGTCGCGCTCCCGGCGCCGCGCCCGCCCCTTCCTGCCGCCGACAGGGGGCGGCCTGCCTTGCTGCCGGGGCGGGGCGCGCTCCGACCAATCCGCGAGCCGCACCGCGAATATTAAATAACTGCCTGCCTGCTATTGGGCGGCCACGGATGTGTATTTGCATATTCATACGGCGGCGGACCAATGGGAGGTGGCGGTAGGCAGGCGGGCTGAGCGGCGCGGGGCCGGTGGCTGGAGCGGGTCCCTGCGGGCCGGGGCAGGGACCGGGACTGGGACTGCCCGCGCGGGAAGGGAACGAGAGGGAACCGGCTCCGCAGAAAGGAGCGGGAGAGACAGACGGGGCTTCCCAGCGGTGTCCGCAGCGGGGACAGCCCGGCGAGCTGCCCCGAGCGCCGGCCGCCAGGGCAGAGCCCGCCCCTCCGCGCCGCCAATCGCGGGGCTCCAGCGCGGCGGAGCGCGGGGTGGCGGCGGGAAGCGCGGCCGGCGGGTTGCCGTGGCAACGAGTGGCGCGGCGGCGCGGAGCGGAGCGGGCCCGGAGCGCTCGGGGAAGGGGCCGGGAGGGGAGCGAGGCAGCGGGAGCCCCGCCGCCGCGTCCCGGCAGCTCCGTGCCCGCTGCGCTCTGAACAGCAGCCCTCAGGCCTGGTTCGCGGCCCCGGTAGAACGCGCCGATTCTCCTGTTCGGCCCTGCCATGGAGGAGGGGGGAAGGCAGCTGCCGCCCGCCCGGTAAGGAGCGAGGCGGCCAGTGGCGTGAAAGCACCTTGGAGCGCAGTAACCTGCATGAGAAGCAAAGCGGGCGCTGAAGGGGGAGGCGGGAGGTGACCGTGACACGGCCAGCGGGGCTGCTCCCAGGGCTGCGCTTTATAGGAGAATGTAACATCATGTTTTTTTCTGGAGGACCTTGGCAAGGTCTTGGGAGGGCTGGAGTGAGACATCCCAGATGGAGGTTGAACGAAACTCAGTCCCTACACGGCGGGGGGAGCAAATAACTCAGTGTTCGCCTCTGTGTTTGCCCTCCTGTCTGATCGAGGTGCTCCTCGAGGCGTCAGACACCGGTCAGGCCTCGGGGCTGTGCTCCAGGCACCGGCTGCATTAGCAGCGGCTGCTCCTGAGTCCCAGTGATGTTTTATTAATTTGAGTCTGCTACAAAGCATTTACTTTTAGAAATAAAGACTTTTGGTGCTGCAGATTGAGAATTAAACGGGTTTGTTGCTTTTGTAATGCACTTGGGGGCCTCTTAACCGGCCACAGCCTTGGAGAAGTGAACTGTTTTGGGGGGTGCATAACCACCCACCCCCTGCTCCCCAGCCTGCTCTCCCCATGCCAGAGTGTGCCCCAGAGCATGTTCCTGCTGCTGTCACATCGGCTCTTGGGCTTGTGATATAACTAGACCAGGGCAAATATGGCACTGCTGTGCTCCCATGCCAGCACTGCAGCCAGGAAGGGGTTCCTGAAGCTACAAGGTGCCTTAGGAAACGGCATCCAGAGTATGCTGGTATAACGCGCACGCTTAACACCTCTCCAGATTCAGCCACCTCATGCTGGTTCCTGGCAAATCATCTCAGCGCTACAGACCCCAGCCCTGGCAGCATCTGATAAAATCCAGGCTAATCTGCCATATCCCTGCTGTGTTTGTGACCTGTTGGGTGTCCCCCAAGTTCCGTTACCAAAGGAGTGCAGGCAGCCGTGGCCAGGACAATGCTGTCCAGTTGGCGAGGCCGAGGGAGGCCTCGTTAGAGCTCATTTGTACTGATTACAGACGATCCTCTCTAATCTCTCAGCTTAAACTGCGATGCGCTCAGGTCAGGAGCACAACTTCAAAGCACATACACACTTTGTGTGTCACCAGGTGACTGCCACGAGCTATGAAAGTGAAGTGGGAAGAGGGATGGAGTAAATCATCCAGGCGGAGGGATGGCTGGGGCAGAGGTTACAGACAGCAAAGAGTGTGAATCCTTGTATTTCCAGTCCTTAAACCCTCCAGGGCAGCAGAGGTCCCACTGAGGGCTGTGTGTGGCCCCGGTGGGCTGAGGCAGGTGGCCCATTGCCCCCCGGTTCAGCAGGGCTTTGAACAGAGGGGAAACCCCCTCTCTTTCTCTTCCATCTGAGGACTCAGCCTTTTTAGAGGGCAAGGCACAGAGCATTGCAATACCTCCTCTGCCTGTCCAGGAAGAGCGTCTTCTAATAACTATCGGGGGTGATCATTTCCCAAGAATCAGCAGCCTATCATGAAGCAAGAGGGATTAACTGAGCAGCAGTCAGTGAGGAGGGACAGTGTCTGTGCTCATTTAGGGGCAGGAGCCCTGAATCATGGGCTGGCCACAGCCCCTGGCAGAGGACAGCAGATATGCCATGTGGCCTGTGCCCATGATGTCCTACACTGCTGCCCTGAATCGATACTTGCAGTCACCAGCAACTTGATGCCAGCTTGTGCCCCAGATGTCAAAGGCTCTATCCTGTTACTAATCCACTGAGCCATCAGTCAGTCCCTTGATGCAGGCTGGATTTACACCAGTAACCTACAAGTGAAAGGCTCAGGGTCGTCTTCTCAATCCCTTGATCTCTCCCTGTCCCCTGGCAGCTATGCCAAAATTACTCAGTCTTGGATCAGTCCTGCCTGGTCTACCTACAGCCCCGATCATTCACAAATGATGTGGGGCACAGGTTTTGGGTATCAGCCATTTCCTGCTGTAAAATGGGATCAGGATCTGGAATGTCCAAAAGGAGCAACAGAGACGTGTATGTCAGAAGCAGACCTCATGGCTAATGAGACATCTAAAAAGTCAACATGAGCCAGCCCCACTGCTTGGACCACCTCCTGAACAGCATGGGGCTACAGGGCTCAGGTGCCCAGAGAGGACCGGCTGTGCCCTGCCATGTGGAAGCCTCTCTGGTACCAAATTGGAGATGAGAGTGAAAGGATTATCTCTGGAATTAGATTATTTAGATTGGAGCTTTAATCTCTGCCCTTGTCTGCACAAGAAAATAGTAAAACTCCCTGGGATTATTTGGGGTTTGTTGTGAAAGTAAAACCATACTGGCAGCAAGGGCTTCTGCTGGGAGAAAAAAAATATGAAGGCTTTTGAGACCTGTCCTGTCTGACCTGTTCACTGTATCATGGTGAGACCTGGCAGAACAAAGCTGCAGATGATTTGGCAGACTCAGCTTTCCTCGGAAGTAGCTGTGGCTCCAGGACTGCCTCTGCAATGACACAAAGGTGTCCTGCAGCCACCCTTCCCCTGGTACTGGTGTCTGGAAAACAAGAACAGCTCTGCCACGGTGCAGACACAGGGACCTGCCTAAGTGAAAATGGCTGTAGTTTGCAGAGAACATCCTCACCCACTGTGATGCTGCACTGTGGATGAGTGCAGCCTCTAGAAATGGGGTTACCATTTTAAATAAATTAAGACTGTGTCCTGCCATCTGACTCTGTGGGCAAAAGACATGTCTGGCCAGAGCAGAGTCTGGGAAGGAGCAGGCAGAGGCAGCCACCACACTTGTGGCCTCTGATTGCCCACTGGGCTTGTGCACACTGACTGTGGCACAAAGCATGTGCCCTGAGCTGTCACTGGTCCCCAGGGGCAGGCACAGCTCTGCAGCACAGCTGTCCTCCTGCTCTGCATGCACAAGCAGTTCCTTCCTCAACAGGCTCCACTGTAAGTGAAGCACAGTTGCGGACCAGCACTCCCTTTGGCAGACACCAGCCTGCACAGGTCTCTCCCTCCCCTATAAATGTGACCCTAAGCACATTTATGACTTCCCAGGACTCTAGACTGTTGCATTTATCACCCTCACCTCCTAATCACAATACAGCTGCTGTGCCAGTAAATGTAGAGATCTGTAAATATCCATTTTCCAGTTTCTTGGCTCACACACACATTTCTAAGATGGGACCAGCTCCATAGATACACACACATAGTTTGCATACACCCACTTGCACACAAACTCTTCTGCTGCTGCACTCCCAGGTGCCCATCTGCACTCCTGGCTTTTACCTGCACACACACAAACTTTTCCCAGTGCACACAGCTGTGCAAACACAAGTATACACACTCACACACATACACAAATATAAGAGAAAACAGTTTTTCCATTACTGGGATATCAGCCATCTCTGCAGCTATGCTGGTTGGCACAGCAACAGAAAGACAGAAGAGAAAATCCTCCTTTGGGAGATGGATTTGTGGACCCCAAGAATTTGGAAGAGAACCTGGGAAGTGAAAGATTGGAGATGGAGAAAGCCAGAAGATATTGGTCCTTAACCTTCCAGTTGGATTAAAGAGACAGAGAGGAAAACAGCTCCCAGTCACACTGAGGAAAACAGAGCAATGATGATGCCCTTTGAAGCCAAGCAGAAATTAGTGCTGGCAACTTGTGAGCGAGCCTCTGCATAGAGAAAGGGGACAACTGTAAGTCTGGTAGAGTAGGGGAAGGGAGCGGTAGGTTGAGACCATCTTGGGGAAAGGGGAAGGAGGATAAGCACTTGACATGTCTGGAAGCAGCTGGTAGGGCCTGGAGGCTGCTATCGTGGTCACCGCTGCAGACACAGGCAGCACAGCCCCACTGTACATGTGCTCACAGTTGTGTTTGAAATGGTCTGAAAGTGTAATGGGGTGGCTATTGCTGCCTATCCCACTCCCACCCAGCTCCCCTCTGAGCCCTCTCTCCCATTTTCCTTTGCCAGGGTACCACAGGGGCTCTCACATGCCCCCGTGCCAGTGGAGGGGACGCAGGGATGGGGACCCTCCACACTGCCCTCACTGTGAAGCACCTCTGGGCCCCTTGACCATGGAGACAGCAGGAGAGAGGGCAGAGTCCTGAGATAGGCTTAGTGGCTGGCAGTGACTCCCCTTCCTGTGGGAAGGACCAGCCTCCAGACCCCAGTGCAGACACCAGCACGTGCACGTGCCCAAGCCCTTCTCCCCCAGCCCAGCCACCACCTCTCACAGGGACATCCAGGCTCCACATCATTTCAACGTGCATATTTATCGCTTTCCCCCCGCAAGACATGTATTTAATTTACTCTTAGTAAACATAACCATAGGAGATGCAAATAAGAGCTGGGGAAGCATAAATAACTCCACACAGATAGACACACACACGGAGACAGCAAACACAGACACGGTTCACCAAGGGAAACCAAGAAGTGCAGAGCACGCCCTGAGGCTGCCACCAGTCCCAATGGCTTTGCCCTCATCCACCAAGCCAAGAGGATTTCTCCTCGTTTTGCTTTGCAGCAGCTGGTGGGAGAATAAAGCTGGGGAGGAGGAGTCTAAAGTTGCAAATATCCCATGAAAGCATCATGGCAAGTCCTGGCTCTGCAGTTTCCTGCAATCATCTCCAAGGAATGGTTCCAGTTGTAGGAAGTTGCAAGTCTTTCACAGTGTGAAAGGGTGGAGGGGCATGGGGACCACCATGAGGGAGGAGCAGCAGGTCATCTTGCAATGTCCTAATTGCAGCCAGCCGATAAACCTTCAGGTAGGAACATCGGGGCTAGATGCTCCATCTAGGTCCTCTTCTGCCCTCTCTAAGGTGCTGATTCTTCTTTAGGCTGAGAATAATCTTCAACGGGACATCATGCGAACAAACTCTGCAACCAACAACACAAGACAGCCCTGAAGCAGAAGGCACCCACCATCCCCAACCCAGCTCTCATTCCCCGGAGACAGCAGGCAGCCAGGGTGAAACCAGGAGTCCCCACACTGCCAGCAGGTCTGTGCGCTCCGTGACCGGCCCTGAGAGCTCACACAAAATGTGCTTTAATCCCTGCACTAGACATGGTGATAAGATCCCTCTATCAGGTCAATTCATTGCCTTGGACTCCTTCCCAGCCACGTACAGTCTTGTTTGCACAAGCGACTCTTTGTGAGACACTATGGCAAGCGTTGTCTCCCTTCACTGGAGCTTCAGGGAACCTTGATTTACAGTCTTGGGAACACGGTATGAATTCTCAATAAGCTTGCCACTTCAGAGACACCAGTGTGGGAAAGCACAAGGGTTCTGGTGGGTACCAGCATTTTTGTAGAGGAAAGTTTACTCTGATGGACTTCTTGTTCTTTTAAAGATACAAGTTAACTGTAAGGATGCCCTGGATCTATTTCTTGACCACCCTGCAGCTTGTGAAGTCAATTACAATTGCTCAAATTGAGTGTAAATGCCATCAAATATAAATGTGTTTTCATTCCGCACTTGAATTGACGAGGAACTAATGACTCTGCAAAGAGGAGGGCAGTGGAAATTACCCCCTTGACTTCTCCTTTTCCATTGATGGAGCTTTCCTTTGACAACTAAAGCAGTAACTCACAGAGAAAATGATACTGGGATAGCATTTCATGTATTTTAGCTGTCTAACATAATTTAGCTGTGGGAAACAAGGAGAGCTACTGTCATGTAATCAGCCAGTGCATTAGAACAACTGCAGCTACCAGACACTTTCTAGGGAGACACTTCCAGTTTTTTAGCATTTTCAAAGCCCTCAGAGGCTTCAGTAATCCTGAGGACTGAGACACCTTGTCATGTAGGAGACCCAGGAATGCCTCTGAACCAAAAAAATTACATCAATTTCACTTTAATTCTGTATTTCCTGTGCTTCACCCTTACTGTAAAGGGATATCTGGATTTGCACCAGGGAAACAAGCACCCTGCCATGCTCTCACACCTTCCAGCTCTTATATCTTCTTAGCTGTCTGATATCAACTGCTTCCTTGCCAGAAACCCTGAGCACTATTAATATTGCTCCTACCATGGCTAATGGCTATGAGAGTAGCCTAACCACTCTTATTTTCCCAAGTCTTTCTGGCATGAACAGTGTGAGAAGAAATGAATTATCTCTAGAATTTAACATGACACCTCTAGATCAGATATCTGCACTCAGTGAGCACACCTGGCACATGACCATCTTCTGGCATAAAGGCACAGAAACAAATTCTCTATAAACCGAGATAACAAGGTGAGCCAGATGAAAAGGAAGGTGCAATTCATTCTCCAAAGCAATCCAGCCACCTCGGAGCTCTTGCAATAGATTTGACAGAAAGGAAAATGCCCCATAAAAGGAAGGCTGGCACAGCATATGTGCACCAGAATCTGCTTCTCTGTGACAAGTTCTATCTCTTAACATCCTAGAATTATGGAGACCCAACTGAAACCGAGATGCAGCAAGAGATGATGCACAAATAAACAATTCAGCTGGCCAGAAAAAAAAAAATTCTGCTTGATTTTTTTCTCCACACTTCAGATACCTGGGCCCCGAGCATGCCTATCTTCCCTTCCGCTTCAGCCTCTGAGCTGAAACTCTGACTCACAGCAGAGTAGATGGGCAGTGAGTGCTGATCCCTTCTCACCTTCAAAATCAACACGCCCATCTCCATTCAGATCCACGTCTCGAATGATCTCCTCGATATCCCGATGGCCCACCTGCTGCCCTAGAAGCTTCTTCATGGCTTCTCGCAGCTCACTGGTGCTGATCTCCCCATCACCATTGGTGTCAAACTGCAAGTACATGAAAAATACCAGCGAGGAAAATACAGTTAATGGAAATGGATCTTGCTCTGGTTTGGATTTTGTATTGTCCTGCTCCTGAGTGCCCTATGTTTTCTTCATTCCTTCTGTGTCCCTTTTCCTTTTCCTCTTTTGGGTGCCTTTTGGATCCAGTCTGTCTTTTCTCCTCAGAAACCTCTCACTGCTGTGTCTGCACCATCTTTCCTCTTCTTTGCCTCAAGGGTTCCCTTATCTTAGTGACTTTCTCCGCTCCTCCCTTATTCCATGCCTGGCTTGGCTCTTTCTCTGTCTTTCCACTGTGCTGCTCTCTCCTTCTCCTCTTCCTTTCCCCAGTGGGTGTTCTCTCTTTCCTGTCTCCTGTTGCTCACTCTCTGGGGGCAGGTGGGAGGGAGCACTCACCTCTCTGAAGGCATCGCGGAGCTCTTTTACACCAATCATGTCTGCAGTTTCTGCCAGCAGCTTTGGTCCCATCAGCTCAACAAAATCTTCAAAATCCACGTGGCCACCCACTTGGGACAAGATGAAAGATTGTGTGTAAGAACTCCGTGCCCAGCACTCACTTTGCACTTCTGCATGCCCCAGAGAGTGCTCGGCTCTCCAGGAAGCAAAGCACAGAGGGTGTGGGACAGTGGGAGGAAAAGCAGAGGTAGTTTTACACTGTATTTTCTGGATTATGGGCTAGGCAGAATGAGCCCAAGCTATCCCATATTAGGCAGCCATGGACTGTCACATCTTTGTGGCATCACATACTACGTATTAGAGGCTTGATCGTTCCAACGCTTACAGGCTGGGCTGCGCCTGTGCCAAAGGGCACGGCAAGGGCACAGCACGATGTGCCTGTGTGGCCCGGGCAGTGCCCTGCAGCAGTGGAGTCCTGCTCCATTACAGCAGCTAATGCGCGTCCAACTGCTTAATCATTGTATTAGTTCTTTTACTCGTCAGTGCCCTGTCTGAAAGCTGTCAGTAACACTCTCAAATTCCCAAGCACTTGTGTGCCAGGGTTATCAGATGCGTCTGCGTGTGACTGGGCGCATATGTCACAGCTGTTCTCCTTCCCTTGTGAAGTAACTTGTCCTTTTAACATCCTCCTGTGTCAGAAATAACATGCACTAAATATCGTTTTCCCCACCTCGCTGAGGCTGAGACCCTGCACTGCCACAGATGAGAGGTGACAAAAATGACGGTGAAAGACAAGGGGCACAAACACAGTTACAATGAATTGGATACGTTTGTCACATCTTTCCGTGACTGCAGCAGATGCTCCCATCTGACACTGCCAGCTCAGCTCACTCACAGCCTATCCCCAGGCACACAGCAGATCCACAAACAACCGCTGCAGAGTGAACAGCCATCCACCACCCATCTGACCAAACCATCTCCATCTTCCCATGCTCTTCCTTCATTCTGACACCATCTGACAACAGCTTCAATATGACAGCACACAGAACCTGTGCACCGGTGTCTGACTCCCTGCATCAAGGGTAGTTTTATACCTGACAGCATAAGCATGAAGGACAACCCTTCCACTCACTGTTTCCATACACAGCACAGTCCACACAGTCCCTTTGATAAGCAAAAACAAAGGCATCGGCTTCTTGGGACCACAAACAAACAGGGGAGATGATAGGGAGTGAAAATGAGAACCAAAAGAACGGGGGGGGGGCGAAATCCAAATGAAAAGAGGCAGCAGGGAACTGAGAGAGCCTGAGGCAATGATGTAGGGCACAGCAGCAACAGGCAGGTACAGCCAGGTGGGAATTACTCACGGTTCATGTTGATCTGCTGGGAGAGCTCTATTAGCTCCATCTCAGTGGGCATGTAGCCCATGGTCCGCATGCAGTTCCCCAGGTCCCTGCAGTTAATAAACCCATCCTTGTCTTTATCAAACTCCTTAAAGGCTTCTCTTAACTCTGTGGGAATGGATCCAAAAAGAACAATATTGTCAGAGACAGCTTGAAATACCTTTTCCAAGAAACCTCCCCAGAATCAGCAGCACTTTATGAGGCCAGACTCCCTAAGATACTCTGTATTTTCCCAGCACATCTCCCTGGAAAGAGGCAATCACTGGAGCAACGTTAAGTTTTCTGTCAGCAGCACTGTTGACCCATTCCTTACAGAAAAGCTTGATTGGACAATAAGTGTCATAAATGGTTCATTGCTAAACTGTTCTTCATAAAGAAACTGAAATTCTTAAGTGTTTCCAACTTTTACACCTGTACTGTATTATAAACCTCTCACTGTAGGGATTAGCAAGTAAAACAGCTTCCCTGGAGCCAGACAGTCATGCCATGCTCTACAACAGTTTGTGTGGGAGCTGGGGGAGATAGCAGTTCCCTGATAGCCAACATCCCATTATTTACTTTTCCTCCCACCCTGAAGAAGCTGCAATAGATGCAAATTCCTTTACAGTCAGTACTCTTCTAGTTTTATATATTATTTCTTTTGCTGGGGTTTTCAGGAATTATTCCAGTAAACATGTCCCTTGGTTTGCCCCAAATTATTTTACCCCATGGAGCCAACCTGGAAGGGCAGTAGGTTTTCACTGGGCAGGGAGAAAGGGGACAGAGAAGAAGCAACAAATTTTACCTTCAATTTCTTCCGGACGCAGTTCTCTGTCCTGCAAAAAGAAAACATATTATGTTAAAGCCATTTGTTTGTCACAAACATAGTTTCAAAATAGCTGTTTGTTGGTACAAACAGTTCTAGGACAAGCCATAAAGTGAGAGAAGAAACAAGAAGGTGATGACATGTTTAATACCATCTACCTAGGAAGGCTTCCCAGTTCTCCTCCCCAACGGGAGGGTTGTTAACCTGTGGAAGCCCCTCTCCCTCTGTTCTGCTGGACAGGGGGATGGCAAGTGCTCCCTCAAAACAGAAGAGACCTGGGCCAACACAGCAATATGTGTGGCCTCCCCATCTGATGGTACTATTGGCACCTCCTTGAAACTCCTACATTGTTCCCCAGCACCAGGTTCTGGAGCAAAGACTGTCCCTGCAGCAGTTATGATCTCCTCTAGAGCTCTGACTGTATTTCTACTGCAGCTCCCGCTGACACAGCCAAATCAAAACAGCTGGAAGCAGTCTCTGTAACCAGCAGGTCTATATCATCATCTGCTCAAATCACTGCTTGATCTCTGTCCTTCTGGCAGGACAGTGACAGCCATGAGCTCTCACAGCCAATGTCCCAGCGACATGTCCTACAGTCTGTCCCCACAAAAAGGTAGGAACTCCCCCCTTTCTCCCAGCCTCAACTCCATATCCAAGCATTTTGAAACCAGGCATGAAAGCAGACACACAACATATACATCATCAAGGTTATCTACAAACAAAACAGGACAAGGATTCACCATGTTCAGGAAACACTGCAACTTCAAACATCCAATTTGAATTTCTTGGAAGAAGGGGGAGGATATAAAAGAGTACAGGAAAATTCCAACACTGCACCAGGAAGAAAAGATGAGCATGGAAATGCACTGCTTTCTGGTTTAAATGCCCTTTCTAATTCCTCTCATGGCTCCCAGGCAAATCCAAAACATCTGAGGATTTGGAAACACAGAAACGCAATTTCTTATGTCGTCTCACTCTCGGCTTTCCCCCTCAACCGTGGGGAGTTTCTCCTTGCCTTCCAGGTGTCCTCCAGCCTCACCATACGTCCCTGGAGACAGTGCCTTTGATCAGTTTGAGAAGGATGATCCTTTGCTATTTAACCACAGGCCCCCCTGGAAACTCTAATGGCAGCTGCTCAGCGTGCAGAGCAAACTAGGACACACACTGGTTTACGTCTGTGCAAAGGGGGCCGTGCCAGAGAAATGACCAGATTGCCACTCATAACCTTCCCAGAGGCATCTCTGTGCTGGATGGAACTGTTGGAGCGCTCTGGCTCTGCTGTTTCATCCTTCACAGACCTGGTATTTTCAAACATGTCATCCCATTTGTTCTGCTTTCATCAACACCAAGTAATAAAACCATTCAAACTCCTTGGACCGGATGCAGGAGGCATAATTGCCCTCCTGCCTTAGATAAAACAGCACATGAAAACCACCCATTATTTGTTCCAACACCTTGTGCACTTTATTCCAGAGATGGCAACCATGAATCCCTGGAGATCGTGGCTGGGCACACAGCAGGTGCAGGGCTGTGATCGCCCGCGCCGCGGTGCAAAGGGTGCCGTGACTCACCCGCGGTGCCGCCTGTCTTGTGAGAGTGGCTGGGGTGGGGCCCAGGCCTTCCTCCAGCACAGTCGTCACAAGACCATCCTCCTCCTCACCCACCGAAGACCACGTTGCAACCGACATGACTGACACATGTCAGAAGTGGGGGCTTCAGCACCGGCTCCAATTTTGCACACCAAGGCATTTGCGTTGGCAGGGCTCTGAGCGTATCTTTGCACATGCAGATTGTGCCATCAGAGAGCCACAGACTGCGAATGCAGAAGGAGGGGGAGGGTTTATGTCCCTCCAAAAATCTGACTCAAGCGATAACTAACATCATGAAGAGGTTTTCTGTTTAAATGTGAAAGAAGATCCCCTAAAATGATAAAGGAGTAAAATTGCTTGGGATGAAATGGGCTGAATCACTCTAAAGCTTTTGGAGAGCATATGGGAAGAGGAATGAAACTGTTCCAAGAGTTTAGATCCTAGATATGAGCAGAGGTGACCCCCAGAGAGTTCATTATACATAATGGTCTTACCCTCATTTATTTCTGTTCTATGTACAATAAATCCTGTTCATCTAGAGAGTCAGTAAAAGTAAAGCTGTTTATCAGATGCACTTTTTCTACATCAGGGTACTTAGAGACATCACTAATCCTACTTAGGGGACTTCTTAGGGTACAATGACCCTCCACAGCCTAAGGAAGATGGATACCTGTCCAGCTGTGAGCCTTCCACTAGGGAGCAGGATCTATCTCCCGTGACAGGTAGCTCTGTGCATGCCAGCAAGTTTGCCTGTGTGAGAATATGTGTTGTGTTTTAGTGACCTGGCACAGGGACTCTGTGATCACTTAGTGGGTAAAGGTTCGGAAGAACAAAAGCCCCTTGATCCATAACGACACTTAAAGACTCTTTTTTGGGTTTTTGGTTGAAGAAGAGGTTTCAGAAATAAAGACCTAGGTGTCTCCTACAGCTGTAAATGACCACATCAACACACAGTAAGACAGAGGTTTCTTACAGAGGCAAGAAAACTCTGGTTCTCAGGTAATTGGAGTGAGCTTTGTTTTACTATAGGAATATGGAAGGCCCTGTGAATATCTAACAATGCATATATTCACTGTTACATATCCATAAAAGACATGTTAATCATATGTTTCTGTATGTCTTTAAATTCATGTTACTGTAGGAGTAGAATGTTTGGATGCAAAAATATGTTTTCGTTCTTTTAAAGACACAATACTGGGGTGTGTATTTATGTATCCTTCACATGTCCAGGTGCATACACTTTAATTTACATACAAGCACATATTTTTATTGTTTGTATATAAATGCACACATTAGATGCATATGAACACATAGTTACTATAGGTGTGACTGAATGGATAGACATGGTTCTGCTATTTATCTGTGTATGTGTGTGGGAGGGTAATAGCATTTGGTAGCCTGGCACTATTTGCAAATATGAGGACAGCCTGATGTTCCTCAGTTAATTGGCTGAGATTGCTGCAGTGTCAGGCTGGATATGACAGTGCACCAGAGATTGTGTTTGGGTATCTGTGAGGAGGAAGATGTCTGCTTATTTCTGCTGGTACTAGGGTGCTCACTGTAAACTGACAGGATACTATCAAATATGGACAGCTTGTTCCCAATATGGATGCCCCGATTTGCATTTAAGTGGCTATTTAGGCCTTAAATGCTAACCTGAGCCTCTGGGAATGAGAGGTGGATGTCTTGCTTTGAGCACTGGGCTCTTCCTGAGTCCACTTCCTACTACTTGAGTGCAGGCTTGGATCTATCTTCCATAGCTGCATTTTTAGATCCTCCTTTCTCGGTGTTTAGGCACAGGTCTATCTGCGCATCCTTCAGGTTAGACATTTGCCTGTGACTGTATTTGCACTTGGAGCTGGAGCCGGGACGCTCGAGACCCAGGGCTGGGGGTTTCAGAGCTCCACGCAGACGGAGCATGGGGACGGATCCGCATCCCCGGCTCACGTCCACGTGGCTTTGTGCGTGTCTCACCCGGCTGGGTGTAACTTACGTACAGGCAGCCTGTTTTCTGCGAAGCCCTTCCTCAGGAAGATGCATGCTGGCCCCAGCAGGTTGTGCATGACGGCGCAGTTCTGGGCCAGCACCATGAGCGGACCCTGGTACTCGCAAGCCGACGACCCCTCTTCGCTCGTCTGGACAGCCTTATAGCTCGTCTTCTCGTCATGGCGGATCTTCCCAGCCAACCAGCAGCAAGCAAACAACACAACAGAGGATGTTACCTCCCCATCTCGTTCCTCTGAAGTTTTACTGAACCGCCTCGCAGAGACATTACTGCTAAATTTCCTTCGTCTGGTCCACACTGCAACCCCCCCCACCGGGCTATTAGAATTTGCACAGAAGCAGTAAGTCCGGGAGTTCACTTTCAAAAGCTGATAGAAGTACAACCAACTGGAAGAATTTCTCTTTGAAATGACACCAGACTCTCAGCACGGCTCACATTTACCCAGACACAGCCCAAAGCGCCGCGCTCCCACATCAGCCCCAGAGTTAACGATCCCTGGAATGAGCTGCCGAGGACGAGCGCAGCCCAGTGCAACAATACGTGTGCCAGTCCGTGCCCAGGGCGGAGCTGCCGGCCGGGGCATCCCCAGGAGACCAGGCAGAGCCCGCACAAAGCCACTGCGGGAGGCTCCACCTTACACTTCAGCAACACAGTATCACCCACTTTAACATACCATCAGAGGACCGCTCACAGCGTCAGGTGGCTCTGCCAACTGCAGGCTCACACTCTCTTTGCTACTAATTAGTTACATCCTCAGGGTCTCAGGCAGTTACTGCCCTGGCCTCTTCTAATCACTGACACTCCCGAGGTGGAGATTAGACACGGGCACAACATTTTTGTGTGTATGCATTTGCGCATTTTCCTAAGTGCACACGTCCTGCTAAGCTAGGGCTCCAGAACAGAATCCAGCACTGGATTTTATAAGGAGGCACTGCTTTCCTTTTATAGAAATGCATTTCCCTGGCTCTGCAAAAAACCTCTTATCCTGATATTCCCATGCAGCTATAAAAAGCCAACACAACCCACAGGACCCTCGGTTTTACAGAATAAACATTAATCATACATCAGATTCCTCTTCAGGAATGATTCTACTTTTACAGCCAGTGTTCCCAGGGGTGATCAGAGAAGCTGTCGATTGTCATTGTCTCTATTAACCCTTTTCTTTAAAGCCTGAGGTGCTTTTTTAGGCTAAAAGGCCAGATACGCACACACACACCCCATTCACACTTGTCTGAGACTATTCTGTCTACTTGCTGTGTCTGCCATGTGCTATTACATTGCAGGCATGGTTTGTAGTTTGCCTTTTTGTACACAGTCTTACACCAATCTGCTCATGTAAAATGTCATGTGAATATCAAGCATCAAAACAAAAACAACTCAAAAAGCAAGCGATGGAGAAAGAACATGATGAAGCAGAAAAGAGTTTTTGTTGCAGTCACGGTTGAGGAAGGAATCTGTCTCTGATTAAATCTGACACATAGGACACTTGTCCTTAAAAAAATGAAAGATGAGCATCCATCCACAAATGGCATATTACTAGCTCAGCTAAATGTCAAGGCATCTGTGTGGAACTGCACAGCTTTGTGATATCAGTGCAATGTATTTTCAAAATTATCAGCTTTATTTCCTGACACATTTCTCAGTTTAATATACCAAATAATATGAATCACTTAAATAGCCCACATCAGTTCTGTGTTTAATTCCAGTGAAACCACGCAAAAGATGCAAAGCCCCACAGTCCCAAATCCCTGTTTGCCGACCCCTCCAGTCAGTAGAGGTTATTACCAAGCCACAGAGTGGTACCTCATAATAGTCATCCCATTATTTTTCTGTCTAGATAGAGACTGCCAGTTTGACAAAACAGTTGCCAAGAGCCACTCAGGATCGTGACCAGACAACCTGCCACGGTGCCAGGACACCGAGATGCACAGCTCAGCAAGATCCCAACAAGGGCTCCCTGCCCTGCTCTGCCACTGCAGGCAGGATTTATGGCATCTGATGTTCCCTCTGCCAGCAGTCTCACAGGTTCTCCTGCAAGTATCCCCACAAGTTCCTTCCACCATTGTTCCTCCTACATCCCAGCAGAGTGGGGAAGGGAGCTGTGGAATGGGTATGGGGCAAAACAATGTTAGCTGCCCGTTACAGGGGAAACAGCAGTGTGATGACAAGGAGGATGCAAGAACAAGACGGGGAAGATCAGGCTTTCTCTGTCCCTTCCCTGAGTGAAGGACCACTACCCTTCCTGGCTGAGTCAGGCCCTTGGCTGTGTCAGACAAGCAGATTGTGGAGCAGGAAGGGACCAGGCTGATTTAGAGATGGCCAAAGTGGTGGAGAAGGGTGGCAAAGCAAGGGACCTGGATGGCAAAGCAAGGGACCTGGATGCCAAAGCTTTTAATTTCTGCATAGCAGAAGCACAACAGGATTCACTTCATTTTCCTGCCTGCATGTCAGAGGCACGTTGCAGAGCAGCAAGTCACGAGGGGCCTCCGTCCCAACTGCAGTGTCTCTCAGAGGGAAAGGCAGCCAGGATGGCTGTCGGGATCACTGCGGGGACACTGTGACAGTGGGAAACTGAAGATGACAACCAGAAACATGGAGTCAAAGCCTGATCATTGCCACCCGAACAAGCAAGGTACCCTGGTGTCAGCCAGGCCCAGACCAAGCCAGCTGGTGCCTGGGAGTGAATCCCAAAATTTGGGTTGAAATCACGTGTTCAGGAGTTCAGACTGTCACCCAAGAGCAGCTTTCCCACATGTTGTCTACAGTCCCTCCTCTTTAACAGTTCAGCAAAATGAGTTTGCCCAAGAATCTGAGAAAAATGACTGGGATCATAAAACAGCCAGGTGAAATTGTGCAATGTTAAAGACTGATTTGCAAAGTCTCCACTATAATCATGTGTGTCATGATCAAAAGAACATCATAGTCCCATGACCTGTCAGGATGAGTGCCCAAGGCCTTAAATCATGGCTCACTAGAGTAGTGTCTGAGAAATTCTCTAATTCAGTTTGCAACTTTCCCTCTTCAGTCCTGACGTCCCAGGTCTTGTAACTAAGCACAAACTGCATTATTCAAAGCATCTTTTAGGAAAAAAAGCATAAATTACCTAAAAGACTGATGACACAGAGCTTATAAGTTCCTGAATCCATTTTGATTCAAGAGCCTGGCCACATGTCAGACTTTAATTGCAATTGCCTTGATCATGCTGAGCATAGCTGCAGCCAACTCCTTTCATTCCAAGTTGGAGGTGACCCACAAGCAATCAAGCTGGTTTTTCACATGTACAACATTTAGGTGAACCTCAACTACCTTTGCCTCTTTTGAAGGTCACCCTGACCTAGGGACTGGTCTCAGCACTGCCTAACTGCTTGGTGATGAATTCCCTCCTCATGTATCCCAGCTCCCTCGCAGCAGCACTGTGCCATTAGTGGCTTTGTTTACAGAAGTTGAGATAACAAGCAAATTGTGTTTCTACACAGAAGAGGTAAATATACAGCCAGAAGAAACTCTCTGCTAGGGAGGTCCTCTCCCCAGCATCTCCCTCCCAGAGGAGCTTTCCCGGGTGGCAAGATCTCCTGGGTGGCAGGATGGGATCTTGATGGCAGTGGGATTTCACTGTCGTCAAGGTCTCCACAGAGGCAGCTCCTCATTGCAATGCTCTGGATGCTCAGCATAACTTTTTAATTTATGAGGAGTGAACTGTGTAGCTTTTTGCTGAGCTGTTAGATTTGCAACAATGCCAGCTGAGAACCGTGTGACTGACAGGTACACAGTGCTGTAAGATCTTCCTCAGTCAAACAAGAAAGTTTTCTGGGGCACGTCATTCCCATTTCAATCCTGTCCCTACCAGCAGAATCATTCCTGAATCAAATTCATCCTGGGATCACTGTAAAACCTCAGCACAGAGCAGACTGTGGGCTGAAGCCTAACAGATACACGTGGCAGCTCACAGATGAAGTCCAGCTGGGCCCAAGCATGGAGACACAGGGGCCATGCTGACGTGCAACACGATGCACGAACACACAGCCAGGGCCCAGTGTATCCACGGACAAACAGACGCATGGACCAAGAGAGCACAGAGAAAACCATGCTTCTGTGCCCAAACACACACCAACAAAACTAGATGTGTGCATGCACAAGGATGGATAGACAGAAAAACACATGCATGACTCCACACAGGCTCCTGTGAGGACACCCACTAGCAGGTGGGTGTGTCCACACACACACAGCACCGTACAAGCAGGGGCACCAGTGTGGTACACACAAATTCCCCCGTTACGCACTCACAACAAACACTGCACGCCTGCTCACGCCCCTCAGGATGTGTATGAGGAGACGTGAAGAGCTGAGGACACACACTTCAGATGGGCTCAGAGGTGTGCACACTCTTCCACACCAACGAGAACATGCGCAGACATGTGCCCCTTCACACGTACATGGATACACGTCCCTACGCCCATGACACACGTGATTGCTCATGCAGGTACCTCTCAGCTGAAGCACGTGCACACACACAAACTCACACACCTGCACAAGCACAAACACGTGCACACACACAAACTCACATGTGCATACACACAAACTCACACACGTGCACACACACATCAAGATGCCTGTACAGAAGTGTGCCAGCACACTGTGCACATCAACAAGCACATGCTCGCACCTACCAAGAGGACAGCTGTGCACACACACTGAGCAGGACACAAGCCTACACACATGTTTATTTACACACGTTATGGCTCTCAGTGTCCTGGGCTCTAATGGCTGCACTTGCAAGAGCAGCTCTTACACAAAAAGTCTGGTGAATGGAGCTGAACCCTTTGTACACATCTCTGTGTTTCTCCCACCTCCCATTCCCATCTGCCCGCAATGTCACCCATCCCAAGAAGCAGGGCTGGAAATGCACAGCGCACTTTGATTCAGGGAACATACCTTTTTAGAGAGGTTTCTCAGTGGAGACTTCACACAGTTGCCCATAATATGTTGAGGCTGCCTTTCCGTTGGACTTGGTTATAAAGGAACTGAAGCAATTGATCCCATTAAAGGTATTCCTTGGGAGCAAAGCAAGAAAGGCAGCGCCAGGCAAATCCAAACAGCTACTGGCTGCTGGGGCTTTCCCTCTTCAGGGAGCTTTTTCTCTCTCTGCCTCTCTCTCTCCGTATTTTACTCTATGTTCACTTTCTTGAAGAGATGAAGCAGGAAGGAGAGGGAGGGGAGAGAAACAGACAGAAAGAGAGGGAGAGAGAGGGAGAGAGAGAGTGAGTGAGAAGGGGAGAGAGAGGGAGGCGGATGTATAATCTACATCAGATTAATGTTCAAATCCCTCCCACCCCCCTCAATCTGCAGGCAAGATTGTTTCACTCATAGGAGAGGGCTGTTTCAGAGAGAATTAAAACAGAGGCAAGGCAAGAAGTGATTTCAGTGATGAGTTCAGTGAATCCAGCTAGTTTGGGTCCACACAGCCTCTGAACATCGCATCCCTACCCACCCCCCTCCTAACTCCTCTTGGCTTTTCAATCACCAGAGCGCTAGGCTGGCCAGAAGGCAATCCACTTAGGGGCTTGGAGCAGAATCCAGAGCTCGTTTCGGAACAGAAATGGACCATTTATCTGGGTGGGACCTGTTTCAGCTTATAAATTTCAGCAGACCTAGAAGTGACTGATTTTTTTCCCTCCATGGTGGAAGCAAGCATGGAGACAGCAGTCCCAGGACCCTACAACGTTCAGCCTCAGGACGGTAATTTTTAACCACAAGGGAGAGACCTTGAGCCAGTCTCATGGTAAAGTTTTTCCAGCTTTCTGCAAGTAAAAATCAATAGGCAGTTTAACCTGCATAAGTCTGCCAAAGATGGGCTCACACCTAAATCTGAACAGCCCCAAGATAATGTGAAGCAAAGAATTTGGAGGTCAGATCCATCCATTCCCTTTCCAAGCACTCAAGTCCTGGAATAAATAAGAAGCACCTGAACCTAGAGCCAAGTCTAAACTTTGGACTTTATGCCTGTTGTGGTAACAGAATAATCTCCAAAAGAAAAGGGATGAGTCCCCAGTACATTTTCCTCTAATCTCAGGCTGAGCATAAGAGCATTCAATCTGAAAAGAGATTTAAATTGCACAGAAACTCATCATCACACTCAGGCAACTGGCTCTGAACAGGATAGTGAATGCACCCTAAGCTATGGAGCCATCATAGACGCAGCTCCACAGTGATAAGAAGCCGTGGCATGAAAAGCTACCTCTTTCAAGAACTCCGAAGACCAAGATGACACTTGTCGTGCAGCAGCCTGGTTGGACACTCAGGTGTTCAGCCGAGAACTGTCACAACTTTCTTTGTGAGTGTGGTTCCAAACAAAAGCTTCAACAAAGACCTAAGCCACAGGCTGAGTACTTGCACCACATGCTTTTGTGTAGGAGCCAAAGACTCACTCTCCTGGCAGCTCTGGGGCTGTAGGACAGAGAAGGATGAACTGTCAGTGTCACAACAAAGCAAGGATTTCTCCTTCCACCCTGATGGTGCTGTGGCAAATTAAGTACGATTGTGAGGTGAATCAACAGTTGCTTCAGATCTTAGAGGCTTCTTCCACCTAAGGAGATGATATTAGGAGTACAACTATGACAAAAGTCAACAGCTTCTCCAGTTCCAGTCACAGATAGAAGTGCATGGCCATAGGGGATGGTGTTTCTTGCTCTTCCTTGTACTAACCACTTTCCAAGAGTGAAGGCAGTGGAACAGCCTCCTCTCAGATCCCTTCAATGCTTTTTTCATTGCATGGCCTGGGTAAGAGCTACACAAAGAAGCTCCTAAACAAGAAGCTGCAGCAGGAGATGCTGGAAGACACTCCTTCAATCCAGGGCAGACTGAGAGAGGGACAGAGAGGATGGGGAAGCTCTGCTCTGGAAGACCTCCATAGCAGAGCCCACCCACAGTAGACTGGGAAGTGAAACTGTTCCTGAGCTGGGCCTGTCTCCTGCTGTCACAGTTTGAAGACTCCTAATGCTGGGGAAATACACAGTCACTCCTCGGGGGGGCTGTGCTAGCCCGGGGGGCCTCACAGCAGGGCACTTTGCAGGATGCTGAAACTCCCAGCTCCTCTAAGGCTGCCATCTTTAGCTCTGTTTCTCTTTCCCCTCTTAAAGCAGCTAATGGGAGGCTGATCTACCCTCCGAAGAAGTGCCAGTCATTAATAATGTCCCCTGTCAGCTGCAGCCATTCCCCAGGCTCCTTGTTTATTGACGAAGTGCTTGTCTCCCTTGAGCAGAAGCTGCCACACAGTGAGTGAGGCGCCTGGGCTCCTTCCCGAGACAAACGACTTCAATTCCAGAGCACAGAGGAGAGAGAATTGCCTTCCTGCTGTTAATGAATCTCCCCCGACAGGCAGCACGGAGGCCAGGAACGCCCTGCAATTGAGAAGTGCCCATCTCCCCCATTCTCCCAGAGAGAGGGAGTGGAGCAAGGGAGTCAGACATCTCCTGCCAGAAGAATCCATCACAGCCCCCAGACTGCTGTGGGACAGCTTTGGAAGAGAGCTGTGGAGTGTGTCTCACAGAGCTCTAAAAGCCTCTCAACAAAAGTTGAGATGGTCTCCCTCTAAATATGAGCTCGTACCAGAGCACTCAGATCCAGCCACCATGGCACGCCGCCGCGTGCGCCTGCTCTCCAGCTCTCCAGCTTCTCTTCCCTGCAGTTACAGGCAGCTGCAGGGCAGAGTGAGGGCTGAGACCTGCTGCCAGGCTTGGCAGGGATTTCGCAATCCAGGAAGGGAAGAGGCAACGGGAGCCCACTTGTACGAGGTTTGCAGCACAACTCTTCAACTCTGCAGGAATTCTAGTGGAGCTGCAAGGGGCATCTCAGTCTAGCAAACAGACCCTGCTGAGCTCTGAGAAGGAAAATCACTCTCTACAATGGGATCTTCTTCCCATCACCAGCACGGGCAGCTTAGAGATAGGCAGGAAAGTGGAGTTGGCAGAAAGGTCATTAGAAGATTAGGTTGGAAGGAACATATTTTCTCCCTTCCTCCAACTGAGGCTGCTGTAAGAGAACAGGATGCTGAGAATAAGTGTGTCAAAAACATTTGTGTGTAGGTGCTGATCTGTGGGTATGCCTATATCTGGGGTAGTCAGTATGCGTGTGGGAGGGCTGCACATGCATGTATACTGGTTTTCCCACACTGTTCTTTGTGGCAATCACACTGTTCTTTTAAGGTCTGGGGCTCTGTCGTAAACTTTCTAAAAATTGGTAGGAACTTTGTGAAATGCAAGTCTTGCTGATGTTTGTGCACCCCTTCCTCTCCCCTGAGGTCCCAGGTGGAGAGCAGAGACCTCAGGGGATGCAGCTTGGCACAGAGTGAGGTCTTGGCTCACGGGAAAGAAGCACTTGGCACAGTGACTGACCTGAGCACAGGGGAGGAAGAAGGCTGGGCAACTTGGCATTGAACAAGGAATGATTTAGGTGGTTTAATATGTCTGGATTCTTTAAAAAGCAGCAGTGCTGTGCTTTGGGCTGGCACCTTTGGCAGAAATGCTCATTTCATAGGAAAATGTTGGATCCCACCATAGCTAATCACTTGGCAGTTGCCAGGAACTTTATCCAGTGGCAGCAAATGTCCAACAGACACAACAGAAAGAATAAAAGTCAATATGAAACTTGAGATTGCTTATCAAACTGTAGCTTTGCTTGGCAAAAATTTCCAGTGGCAGTATGGATTTGTACAGTGAGACTGTTCTGATGCCAGGCCCATTTCAGTGCACAATCCTTCACTTGCTGGAACATTACCTCAGATGGCTGTTCTCAGCACAACACAAACAGTGCAACAGGGTGATAGGTAGTGGGGAGTATGCAGTAGAGCAGGGAAAACTCATTCCTAACATCTTTTCACTGAAGTCCATAGCTCTACTAAGAGCCCATTGCATGCTTCAAACATTTAGTATTTTAAAATATGCCACCTTATTTAATTTATTCTAATAGGGGAATTTTTGGTCTATTTTTTCCTATCCCAGAGTGGAGAATGCATATACTAATTAGTAGCTTTCAAATCTGCTCCCAATCACCCTTTAGCTGGTAGCTGTAGATTTGTATTTCACAGGAAACAACCCAGTCTTGATTGCTGGCTGACCTCAGATGAGACTAAGCATTTGGAATAGGTAACATCCTCCCGGTGCCAGTGCTGTCGAGGGCCTCATTTCAAAGCTCCTGATCACTGGAACATGCCCTGGCACTCCAAACTTCCGTGACTGACTTCCCTCTCTTCTTCTGCATCAGCTCCCAAGTGCTTTTGTTGCACATCAAGTTGTGTCTTCTGACCTCTAATGAACTTCGGATGGTTCCATATTCCAGCCAGACACGTACAGGTCCATCTCAAGGGGAGGCACCAGCAGGTATTGGTGGATGCAGTCCAGATTCTCATCTAGGGGGAGGAATATTTCTGCAGAGAGTTTGGGAACTTTCTTTGCTGTCAGCTGTTCCAAGAAGAAAGTGTTGCTGACTCATGCTGTGCATAATATTCTCCTCCATTAGAGCAATTGGATCATATTCAATCACAAACAACAGAAAGGTTATTAAAAAGACCAAGGATATTTTCCATTCCTTTCAAGGTAACAAAGCCTGGACTGTCTGTCAACTTCTGTTTGGAACAGCTCTGTTTGTAAATAGCTGGCTTCATTCTACATTAGATGAAAATAGATGGGAACGTGCCTTCTCCTGACACCTTCCCTGCAGATCTGGTCCATGTATTTTGCATTAGCCCAACTTCCAAGTCCCTACGCAGGAGATGTGTTGGCCAGAACACAATGTGCTGTGGATATTTTCTGCTGATGATCCTGAAGATCATCAATGGGCTACAAAAAGACAAGTACAAGCTTGACAGCTCAGAAGCTGCTGAGAGAATTTGTCACGTATACGCAGTACAGAGGTTGTTTAAAGCAAACCTTACATGGTCCTTTCTCTTTGCTCCAGAATATGAGAATTGTGTGCCACTCTGTCTATCTGGGACTACTGCAAAAGTAGGTAATTCTACCTGGCTTCTTCACCTCTTTCAAGATAAGAGGGACAGGGTGAGTGTTGGGCTGGCACACTGAGGTGCTACTGAAAGTGTGGATGACCATCAGATGAGCAGAGATCTGGGAACCAATACCAACCAACCAATACTCCAAACCAACCCTGCAGCATTACGTGAGGTACGCCACCGTGAAAGCGAGATCCACCTCACTTCTAGTTTGAGTAAGGATCTGACAGCATCTTTAGAGGGACCAAACTCCACATCCCAGGACAAGGTCTCTGGTTATATCTCAACACAGCTGGTCCCAAATTACCTAAACCCTTTGTGTATTATTTCAGCAGAACACAGGGGGTTGCTGGAGGGTTTCTACTTCCTGCCTTCAACTGTTATGACATGATGCTTCACAATGTTACGCGGTTGCCTGTTTCCTTCCAAGAACAGAGAATGTCTTTTATCTGTGTGGGATGAAGCAATGCTGTGTATTCTTTCCAAAGATGGTTGCAAGATGCAAAGTACATTAGGGGAGGAATGGGTGGAAGAAATATTAGAATATTGCTAACGATTTCATTCATGGAGAATGTTGAGTTCATGGCCTTACGCTGGTGCAGAAGGTACTAGAAAAGTAAATGTGACCATTCAAGCTAGGACAGGCTTTTGTCTTTATCCTTAAGCAAGGCATTTGATTGAAATTGGAAGATTATTCAAGTTCACTGGCACTGCCGTTGCTCTCTAAGGTCAGAGGAATGTCAGAGGATTATTGAAAGGGAGCCCAAAGTTAGCTAGGCGTCTTTTACTGGATGCACACCATATAGCTGCTTGTTATTGGAAATCAATACCACTCATGGACTCATCAGGGAAAAACAGTTACTGAAGCTGGAATGCTACAAAGGACCACAGCTAATTCAGCTGACAAACCTGCAGCCCAGGCACTAAAGCTAAAGCTAAACTTCCCTGACACTGTGATGACACCCAGTATTGCACAAAACAAAAATCAAAGTGACAAAGGTTGATGGAATGGACAGTGAACTGATTTACATGATGATTAATTTATCATCAAAAGCTTCTTTCCAAAGATAAGCTGAATCTAACCAGAAGGTTTGTGTATTTCAGTGCATTAGATCATGCTGCTGTATATTTCATGAACAGAATATTTAATGAATGTTCTCTTAGCTTGGTTTTATTTTGATGTCTTTCTATAGCCTTGTAAAACAGATTTGTTTAAAAAGTAAATCACTGACAAAGATTAATGTTTGCTGGCAGACCCGCTGCAGGCAGGAGGCTTATCCATTGCCCCTCAGTGATTCTGTACGTCTGGCTCACATCCCTCAAGCTCTTTACAAGCAATAAATGTGATAAATTTTCCTCCAAGCTGCGAACGGGAGGAGCCGAGTGGATGTGCTCGAGTGGAACAATGTTTCTCTGTGTCCGAGTTTGTTACATACAGAAAACATGAGACATACCTTGGAAGGTGTGGCGGGTGTCAGCAGCAGGGGTGTGCGCATACGCCGGTCGATGCTTTAAGCACGGGGGTGCATAAGCGTGTACAGAGGTGGTTGTATAGCCACACAGGAGATTTAGCAGAGGCTGCACGAGTAGGCTGTGTGTACATAGACAAGACATGTATACGAAGGCTTTTTATGTCAGGCTACATGCACGGACATGGGTTGTGGCAGCTCATGCAGGGATGGAGGCACGGAGGCCGCACGAGCCCCGCGCAGGTTCCCGGACTCCTGTGACACGCACCTGGCACCTACATCACGGCAAGCACGGGACTCTCCCGGCTCTGACACTCACCGGGGAGCGGGCCCGGGACGGGCCGGACGGGCCGCGCGGGGGCGCCCCGGGGCCGCCGGAGCCCGGGCCGGGGCCGCCACTGCCCCGGAGCCCCGGAGCCCCGCGGCAGAGAGCGGCGCGACCGGGGAGCCCCGGCGGGACCGGCAGCAGCCGGCCACGGGAGTGTCCCCTGCGGCCCCGGGGACACCCTTCCCTCTCCCTTCAGGGACCCTTTTGCGGCCGGTACAAGCCTTCAGAGGTGCCATGAAACACGGGGGGAAAGTCGGGGCAGGATACGGCATTTCTCCGGGATTTTTTTGCCTCCTAACCCGTGCACCCACGCTCCATACCAGCGAGCCAAGACTGCGCCACGGGACCAGCATCACTACGGCGGTCGGTCATGCTGAGCCAGAAATCTGTTCACCCTACATTACTGTACTGATTTAACAGTGTAAACGAGCAGCTGTTAGAGGTTGTCTCAGTTTGCCACGAGCCCTGACACGCCACTGCTTCACCTGCCTTACAGGTATAAAACAGCACACGAGCACCTGCAAATTCAGACCTTTCACCTTCACCTTGCCATCCCCACACGAGAGTTTCCATCGCTGGTGTCACCGCTCCAGCGCTGCCCAACACGCTGCAGCCTCCCCTTGCTAATACACAGGGGCAGCTGAAAACTTCCATTACTGAGCCATGGAGCCACTCTCCCTCGGCAGGGCTGACCGGAACACCCTGGCTTTCCATGGGTGGAGCTCCAAGAGAAGTCCTGAGGCAGTGACTGCTCTTGGGCAAAACTCTCGTTAGAATCAGCTGAAGCCATGGGAGGGAACAAGGCCATCCTGCAGATGAGGAGACCAGAAGGGTGAGAGGCTGGACAAGGTGCTTTTCCCCTACCTGCTCCTGGCTGGTTAGAGAAGAATGTTCTTGATACCTGCTTTCCACCCAGGCAGCTTGGGGACACCTCCTGTCCCAAAACGGGGACGCTTCTGTCATCCCGGTACAGCCAGTTAGGAAGAACTAAAGCTCAAGAGTAAAGGAAGATGCAGCAGGACAAGAAAAGGAAAATTTTACAGGAAACGCAGAAAGATTCTTTCCCTATTATAATGGTAATGTGGACGCTGACATTAAAGCAGGAATGGGAGATGGTGCACACAGGAGAGGCTTTAAACTCCCTGTACAAATAGAAATACAAAAGCCCCTTTGGCCATAGTGCTAACAGCAGAACTCTGTAAATATTTCATTATTCTCTACGCCATTGTTTGACCCCTTTGATCCCCATGCTACCAGGCATGGTACAGAGGCAATTGACAGAAAACTGTTGGGGAATCACTTCACTGAAAAATTTAACAGTCAGGCAGGGTGTGAAAGTTAAACGGCTCTGAAAATGTTCAGGTCTCACACAGCAGGATCACTTACAAATTAATATTGCATAGCAAAGGCCCAGAGAAAGCTCTTCTTAAAGGTGCCAGCTAAGCCGGTGGTGTGGCACAGGAGGGATGAGGCAAGGAGAACCGGCGGGTCTCTGTGCTGCAGTCCCCGCACAGCGCCGTGCGGTGAGCCCGGGGCCAGGCTGCTGCTGCACCGTGGGTGCTGCGGCCACATCACTGCTGCCCCGGGAATGCCACAAAACTTGCACTGCGGTCCCTGCTGCCCCATTCTCTGTGCTGCTGTTGCTAGGGTTGTACAATAACAAAGTGTTCTGCTGCCAGGCTGCCACCTCACTGCCACCCCAGCTGCGAGGGATCACTGCTCCTCTGCTGTTATGGACAGCGACTGCTCGATACTGCACTGTTGCTAAACTGTGATCCATAGCCACACTACAGACACTACAGGACCCTCAAGATGTTCTGCTCTGCAGGGGTGATAGCACGCTCCTTTGTGCTCCACAACACTCCTTTATCACTTGGCCAATCCAACACTATCCTGCTATCAGGCCAAAATTATATGAAACATCCTCCCCACGCTCCCCTTCCTCACCACTTTCCCACTTTGCTGCATTATCACACACACATCCCTTGCCAACTACACCCGTGAGTCACTGCACTGCTCTCGCACTGCACTGAGCTCCTGTCACTGCAGGGCTACTTTAAAACACTGCTGTCCCACTGTCCCACATACAGCCAGCCCATACTCACAGTGCACTCTGTCACCAGGTGCGTGGCGTTGTTCTCCTGCTAAGTCACAGCTGTGCTTCCAAAACTGCGGCATAGTGGTAACACCTCACTCGCTGCCTTCTGGTACAGCGGGATGGTGCTGTCAGATCCGCGCAGCCCTTTGCTAATATCACACCAGAAGCAATCACTGCTGTATGGAATGGCTCCCGTCTGCAATATTGTATTACTACATCAGTAGACTGCTAAACTCTTCTGTCAGGGTACAGCACTACACAATTATCACACCCGTGCACTGCCAAACTCCTACCGCATGGCACCAATATCACTGCTCTGCTCTGCCCCGGGATTGCGTTACCACACCACCGCATCGTCAGTGCCGTGTTCTCCAGGCACTGGGAGCTGCACACACTGCATGTTAACCCGGTTATAAACTCCACAGCACAGTGCTTTCCTGCAACTGCCGCCTGAGCCAGCGTGCAAACATGTCATTACACTGAGATGACATCCTGGCTTATACTTAATACATCATTACACTACCCTACTTTTGTTAATTCATGTACCACTCATTTGGAAAATGGTAAAATATCCTGGAAGAGTATTATTGCTTAATTACATTAGAGCATCACTGCACCAATATAGCATAAGCCTAATTAATAAAATATCACTGCATCCTGTATCCTGGCAGTATCTTAGCATTCTCCCAGAGTACACACCCACAGTGCACTATATTGCTGTGCTGGTTATATAAACACGGCGCTTCTGCCTTCACTCTGTCTTTTTTTCTGCACAGCTACAAATCTGTCTCCCTCAGACACAACCCTGTAGTCCCAAACTGCTCCTTTTTGCTGTTACTGCAACAACGACATCTCCGTGAAGCCATCGCTGCAATCTTTTCCGCGTATCTGACTGTACCACTGTAGTGTTTGCATCCGTGACCACATCCCTGCACCACTGTGGAACAGGGGGATGATGTTCCACATCTGTAGAGCTGGGATGAGATATACTGGTGCTGCTGGACCACAGTGCTCTGCTGCTGCAGATATGCATCACTGTGCTCCTCTCCTATGTACTGCAAAATTGCTGTTTTAACTGTTTCACAGTGGGCTGTGTGGGCTGGAGAGAAGTTCTTGTATTAAATAAATTATCTGCCGAGCTGTTGCTGTCTTCTAATTCCAACGTGGAGCAGACTGGTCTTACAGCACCTGCAGCCTCAGACTGCAACCCTGGACACTTCTGTGCCTGTGATCCTGCCTCAGCCCAGGCTGCAGCTTGGGCTCCTGAAGGTGTAAGTCCTTGGCTGTCTCAAAGCTTCATGCATATTTTTACACATTTGTTTCTTCATTCACAGAAACAAAATTTATATAATTCCATTCCATGACAGAATTTCCATATATCATCTCCTTGGGCCTTTATTCACCCCAGGATTTTGATATCACTACAGAAAAATAAAAAAACTTCACATATCTCTTCCTGTAACCAGCTCTTTGTGCATCCTAAATTATAGTTCCCCAGCTTGTATCCACAAGTCCTCTGTAAAGCGGGATCTAGTAGACCCTACTCCCAAAAGTCAGTCCTAAAATCTCCATTAAATGGTCATTCACTCATCGTTACTTCAAAGAAAGCAAGCGAGAGATTAATACAGAAAGAAATGGGAATAAATAACATTACACTCTAAAAGAAAGGCGCTGGTGTGTGTAAGTACTGGTGCAAGGTACCCAGCACAAAAATGAAAACTAGAATTGTATCTGTCTCACTTCTGTAAAGGGCATTGTTCAACACCACAGTTAAATTTTGCTAAGTTTACAGAAATGTCTTCTGACGCTGGAATGCAAGCAGCAGAGCAGGTAAAATAAAGATACCGTTCAGGTAAGGGTTGAGTCCAGAACCAGAGAGGTTTCCGTGAGTGGAAGCCCTGGCATGGATTTGTTTGTATGTCCAACACTTTGAGGACATACAGCTCCATAGACTTAAAATCTGTTCTCAGATACATCTTCACTTCCCTCAGAACTACAGACACAGCACAAGTCAGAACCAAGTCCACCGATTTCAAAGCCTGATGCTGCAATACTGCTTTGTGTAACCTGGTTGAACACCAACCTGCTGAGCAGGCTCTTCCTTATTGCTGCTACAAGATTTTAACCGAGACTTCTGGTGCACCGTTGGCACAGGGAGGGTAATACTCGTTCTGAGTTAAACACAACCATAACATTCATAAACAGCAGACTGTCAGTGAGGATGGAAAACTGTTGAGGAGAACAGATGTGCTTTGATTTTTATCTAGAGAAGTCAAGATGAACAGAAGAAGACAACACTCCCAGATTAAACATACGGGTGTATCATCTCCTTCCAACCAAACATAAAAAATTTTCTAGTTCTCTCCATAATCTCAGTTTGAATGGACTCCCTGCAAAGCCTCCCAAACCTACATTAGGAGAAAAAAAAAAAAGGACTTAACGATAATAGACCCCAGAAATCATAATTCTGGTTTATTTGATCACTTCCAGGGCTGGAACTTACCCGCCCAGGCTACTGGCTTATGCCCATAATTGTGCTTCTGGGAGATTGCAGTTACATTAATCTTCCTGGAGATTACATCTCCCAGTAGCATCCCTAAATGTCTCTAAAAGAAAATTTCAAGCCGGTCTCCCTCTGCCTTTTCATTTTTAGAGGGTAACCCTGTTGGGTAATTTCACTACCAAAAGCAGCTAAAAGCAACAGCTTTATACCAAAAGAGCTTGCAAACACCGAAAGCATCTGTTCCATCCTAACATAGTGACTGGGAAGGCTTCAGAATTGGGTCAGGATTTTTTTCTTTTTTTGTCGTTCTCCCCACTACCTTCTCCTGACAGCTTCTGCCATCAGAAATGATTCATATGCTGATTGTACAGAAATGTACCATAAGGAGATGTAAACAAATACAGCAAAGCAAGGCGGGGAGCCAGAGAGATGGAATCTAATAAGTAAATAGATTTTAAAAATCCGCTTCTCTGACTCTCACCCTCGGCAGGCAGAGCCACAACTTCCCCCGGCGACCGGCAAAGCTCCGGCACTTCCCCCGTCAGCACCACCGAGAGCGCCCTCCGCAGCGCCCGGCGGGGCGGGCGGGCGCAGGGGGCTCCGACCCGCGCCCCGTCCCCGGCGCGGAGCCCTCCTCGGGGCCGGCCCCGCAGCGCCCCGGCCGTGCCGCAGCGCCGGGACAAGTTCGGCAGGGGCGGCCAGGAAGCAGTGCATTTACAGCTGCGGGCTGCGCCCGGGGGTGCGCAGGGCTCCGGGGCGAGGAGCCGAAGGTCCGTGAGCCGCAGGAGGAGGGGGGCGCGGAGGGAAGGCAGTGGGGGAGAGAGAGGGAGGAGTGGGGGGCGAGGGGCACTTTGCCCCTTACCTGGCCAAAGACCGAGCTGAGCATGGGGTGCAGCTGCTGGATGAGGGGATCTGCTTCCTCCGACCGATCGCTGCCGCTGGACTTGGTGGAGCACTTGCTGCTGGATTTGGACAGAGGTGAAGCGCCTTCCGAGAGCTTCAGGGACTCTCTGCTGGACCTCTGCTTGTGACTGAAGAAAAAGTCCTCCTCTGCCTCCTCCCCATCCCTGTCTGAGAGCTGATGCTGGTCCTGGGGGTGACCGTGGCTGGCGTGCGGCGGGAGGTGGTGGTGCTGCCTGGGTGTCCGCACCGGTTCCTTGCCACTGCCTCTCCTTGGACCTCCTTCCGCCGGCTCGGGCTGGCTCTCCCCCCGTCCATGTGACAGCTTCCCTGCGCCCCTCACTCCGTCCTCCCGGGCGCCCGGGTGGCAGAGCGGCCTGCGGGCACTGGGCTCCCCGGGGAGCGGCTCCTGGCTCGGCTCCCTCCCCGTCTGCCCGCCTTGTCCTTTGCCGTCCCGGACGCGGCTGCCGCGGGGCTGGGGTTGGCCGCCCGCTGCCCGCCGGCTCCCCGCCGCCTTCAGCAGCGAAGTGCGGGACTCGCTCTTCGCCATGGAGGAGCCGCTCATCGCGGGGCCGCTAGAGCCGCATCCCCGGCCGGGCGGAGCGCTGCCGCTGCGGGCACGGCTGCGGCGCGCCGCTCACGGCATGTCCTGCGGAGACCCGCTTAAATCCCGCACCGCGGCCCATGTGACAGCGCAGACAAAGGCCGCGGCAGGGGCGCTCCGGCGGGGGCTGGCGGGCACCGTCCCCCCCTCCGCCGGGGCTCCCCCCGCGCCGCCGCCGCCTCTCCAGGTGAGCCGGGGCCTCCCCCCGCCGGGGCCGGCTCGGGCCGGGGCGCGCCGCAGGCGAAGCGGCGCCGCCGAGGGGTGCGGGCGGCGGCGGGCGGCGCTCCCGCAGCGTGGCGGGCGGGCAGGGCCCGGCGGCCCCGGGCACGGCGGGGAGGGGGAGCGGCGGGGCCGCAGCCCCCCGGAGCGGCGGCGGGCGGGAGCCGCGGGACCATCGCCCCCGGCGGCGGCGCGGACGGGGAGGTTGGGGGCGGCGTCCCGGGGGCGACGGTGTGGGAGGCCTGACCCCCGAGGCTCCCGCAGCTCCCAGGGCAGAGCCGGGGAGGGGAGCACCTGCCCCGCTGGGTGCCCCACCTGCCCCAGGTGTGCCCCTCGGGTGGTTCCTCTGCGCCGGCACCGGTGGCCAGCACGCTGTGGGGGTCGTGGCCCACCCGACTGCTCCACCTGGATGCTCAGCCTACCGACACGGGACCGCGGTGACACTGGCCCTATAGGTCAGCACTTGTAGGTCTTATCACTATAACTGAAAGGATTCAAACTCGATGCAGATTTCCCGAAGTTCAGAAGAGGAGGTTGAGCACTCGGCCACTGCCTGCCTGACATAGCCCACAGGGGAAGTTTTGACCCAGCCTTTGAAATGGACACAGAGGCTTTGTTAGGGCACATCACAAAAGGATATAAAATTGAAGGAGCTTGTACCTAAAAAGCTGGTTACTGAACATCTTTGTAATCAAACACAGGTAATTAAGTGGCACCAGGTGGTTCAATAACAATGTTCTGTTTAAAACCAGAAAAAGATAATGGCATCAAATCAGACATATGTTTCCAATGAGGAAAGGACCCGGTTGCTTCTTGCTCATCCTCAGACAGTTATTGTGCCTCACTGCCAGACTTGGATACCTCAGCAGTTTATCTACCCAGAAAGATGAAGGTGTGATTATCGCATAATAAGCTTACTCATGCTCGCTCTGCTCTTGCTGGCACATGCACAGCAGTTACTATGCAATGACAGTCTTCTCTGCAACAACCCAAGTGCAACTTCTCTTCAGCCTGGGGTCCCATTGCAGCCAGTGCTGCTGTGCCCCCACCACTACAGTCACGTGTGCTGGTCAGGGCAAAGCTGCCATGGAAAGAGAGTTATGCTGCGGCCCTGGCTCGGTGTGCTCTGTCCCCTCACCTGTGCTATCAGCACCAGATGCGCAGCAATTCCTGCACAAGGTGCCCTCCATCCACCCTCAG